ATTCTGTCCCCAAATATTGTGAAATGAAATCGACCAGTTATAGACAAGATTTCTATCAATTTTGCAATGTACTTGTTTCTTCAATCTAAATTTTATAGGATTGCATTTTATTTATTGACTGCATTACAGAAAGAAGAACTTAGAGCTACTCTAGTGCACATGAACATTGAACTCAACATGGATGGCACCAAAATGCACACCAAAGACAGTGTGGACCAAACGGTATCTAGACAAATATTCAACACTTTCAGCAGTCTATTCAACTATCTTAAGTCTTGCAGGTTGCAATCCAACAAGTTTGCAGCAACACATTTTCTTCACAAACAATCTGAATTACTTTAAATGCATACATCCATATAAAAAGTCAAATTGGCTTCCATGTAAAAACTATACAGTCTCCCATTTTAGAAACTTATGTTTGTACCTCTTTGCAAAGTTTTAGTACTAATTTTCTTGATAAATAACAAAGAGACACACAAACATCAATTTGCACCTCAATTAAAGTGAAGTGAAAAATCAACCCAACCGATGAATTGCACATGCTTCAAAACAAACAACCAAATTAAGCATCTAAATGATTATCAGTATAGATTATGCGTGATACAATGAGTTTTGTTATTTACTTTCAACAGCAAAAATCTATATTTAAGCTTAAACATGTTAATAGTTAGGTAGGCTCGTAAGTGTCATTGCGGAATTATTCTCAAAGTTATGTATTGACTAAGACCTTTTCAAGCTTTTTTTAAGAACCAAATTCAAGTGAATAGAATTTATCAGAGGAGAAATATGCACCTGATTCTTACAGTCAATCAGACTAGTTCATGGAAAAGCACAGCAGGACGTTCAAAATATTTGCAACCCTTAGAAGAACTTAATATTAAAATGTCCAACACTAAGACTGCAGTCAACACAACACTTTTAGGGAAATGAAGCAAGTACAAGTATCAGGAGTTCGGACTAAAGCTCTTAATGGAAATACTGAAGACACGTCTGTTAAGGATAGTGCTGAAACTGGTGCCGATCAGTACATCCAGTCTTTAAAGACATCCTCTTTAGTAAGTAATATAACCTACTGCTACATTTGTGGAAAATCAGTCAAAATGTACACGTCATTTAATAAGTTTTGTCTCTCCACATGGGAATCAAGAAAAGAAACGTTGGAATTAGCGTATAACACATGATCAACTATATGGTGGTATACTAGCCTGTACATTCTGCAGGGATGGAGAGAGTCAGGCCATTGATTCATTGCATGTAGGCTAAGCAAAGCTACCGTATTTCTATTAAATTATTATGTTAAATATATTCTTAATACATGTTTTTATTTTCCACCCCAATATATTAAAACCGCTCTGGAAGGCACATCTCTACAGAACAAACTTTAAATTTAAAATTAGTGTCTTCATTAGTATTTTGTGGGACAGTACAGCTGCTTGTCCCCATATAAACCAATGTCAGTTTGGTCTCTCTGACTCTTGCTCTCCTGCTTTGCATTGTTTTTGTCACTCAAGCATTTGCCCTTTTCACTTTAGACTGCTATTTGGTCAGATAAGTGCCCATTACATATAACTTCACTAAAAATTGCCATCACTTTCATGATTTCCAGATGACTTAATACACCTCCTAGCCAGTTGCTGTAGAATACTCTGAAGCTAATGAAAATGTAATTAACATTGCTTTGAAGTTTTAGATTTATAATATCCTGTAACTGACATAACACTTGTAGTAAAGTTGTAAATATTTATACATATGTATTCTTTTGGTTAAAATGGATAAGATTTTTTTCTTTTGCACCGTGTAACAAGAACACAGACGAGAGGGACAAACAGGTGAACATGAGAAGGGAAGGGCATGAACCCCATGGTAAATACACAATACAAATACAAAAGTATGTGTTTTACTATCAGTTCAGAGTCATAGTGAGCCATCAACTCAGTTTTTAGTGTCACAACAACCGGTGGTACATACTAATGTATTTGTCATGATATGTAATTCTGTTACTCAAAATGCTTCTTCACAGCAGGGGGCTTCTTTGTTGTTCTGCTGTCCATTTGCTGCAATAACCTAATGTTGACATGTAAAACCACTGCTGATTGTAATTCAATCCTTCCTGCATGTGCTTCACAAAACAGGTAAATAGTATGAAGGCGGGGGAAGGATTTTTTAAATGTGAAACTAGAAGTTTTGATGGTGTGATTTGGGATAGCTTATCACAAGCAAAAACAGACTTCTCCCCAAAACTAGATTTTCATATGCTCTTTTTAGTGATGTAGAAACATTGTGGGGGTGAAATAAATGTTTTCACGTCTCACAAAGCTTGACAAAAGCAGCTCAGAAAGCAGCTCAGAAAATTAGGACTAACGTTGCGTGTCATGTAGCAAGGGTAAAATTTGCAACATGTTAACTTACGCATAGAAGATTGATCCTGATGAGTTTTGCGGTATTAGTTTTACACATTTTAAATATGGGGAAGAGAGAGAGAGAGAGAGAGCATTGGCATTTGATCATGGTAGTGATCACTAAATTGCGTTGAAGTTGTAGATTTACTACATAACAAATGTAATGAAAATTACAAGTTAACCCTAGAGTTTGGGTTATCAATGGCAATCCGTTTTCATCTTTTGTAGTGTCTCTGAAAAATGCTATGGAAGGGGGCACTAGAAAAAAAATAGAAACAGCATGGTCTCAAAAAAGAGGTCGCAGCAGTAATGAGACTTTTTACTAAAACCTTATTGTCAAGGGCAAACTAGCCACTATGGTTGATTGCAAGACATGCAATGAAACAGTGTAAGACTGCTAAACATCCTGTTCTGGCTAGTCAAGAACCCCGTGGTAAATCTGGGCATTACATAAAAAATAAAAAGCCATATGATAGATATTGTTACAGACTTTTGTTGTTGAAGCTGCTGGTTCCTGTTGAGCTTTGGAACGTGCAATAAATGTTATTAGCACAGATCACGGTTGAGCCAAAATAAAGAAGCTGATTTTTATTCTTTTACCTATAGGAGATTTATTATAACCTTCTGTTTTATTTTCATCAACAGAAAACTACTGTCCTGTTATGTCAACAAAGTAGTTAACTAGCATTTGAATACTTCATCCCCAAGAGAAGGGTTCTGGATTTCATGACCTCTGTAATAGTTATTTTGTAAGTGTAACTAAAAATTAAATATTTAGTTTAGATTACAATATTCTCTTAATAGAAATACCCCATTCTTTTATTCATCCATGCTGGAGTGTCGCTCCATGCTAGCTAAGAAGGAACTAAGAGGGAATTCCGTGTCATTACATGCCAGCCAACGAATGGACGTTTCTGTAATGCAGTCAATAAATAAAATGCAATCCCATAAAATTTTGATTGAAGAAACAAGTACATTGCAAAATTGATAGAAATCTTGTCTATAACTGGTCAATTTCATTTCACAATATTTTGGGGCAGAATTATTCCAAAGGTTTAGTAAAAGTTGATAAACCTGTTTTAGTGATTACTTACAAAAAAAAAAAAAAAAAAATAGGATCATGCTGCTGAGCATTTTAGTCCTAATTTATAATTATGAAGAGCAAATACAAAATAAGATAAAGATGAAGGCCCTTTAAAAAGGCATACGTCACCATTCCACAAAGGTCATAAAAATGACCAACCACCACAGACAAACCTGAATTCCCCTAAGAGAAAGTTTAAATGAGTGCACTAGTGTAATAAGACATTTTATATAATTGATCCCTGGATAAAGTATCTTTTGCTGCTAATACTGCAATCTTTGATATTTGTGCATGCATCCAAGTTATTTCTGAATAACAGGTAAAACTGTAAATTCTCAATAAAGTGGCCCTGAATATTTTTGTATCACAGAGAAATGTTTAAATATTACACTGATGTCAAAATCTCCATTTTTGAAAGAAACACAGTCTTTAAGAGATACAAACACTCATTAGCTGAAAAAAATTAACCGCATGGAGGTCCCCTCTTTGGTAGGTAGATACTGCTCAAGGATCCAAGTGCCCTCTTGGCAATTTCTTGAAGACAATGTTCTCGTTTTATTTTCACAGACTCCCATCATTGGCCTATGGTAACCCCTCCTAGTCTCTTATCATTGGCTCACGCATAAATTTATTTATTATTTATTAATACATATCAACAGTTTAAATCCATAATTTGGGCGAGATTTAAGTATAGATTTCCTCCAATGATAACAGACTTTCTAAAACTCTTGGCTCAAAAGCTATTACAGATAAACATGTTACTGTTAAAAACAGATGGTTCAGTCTCTCTCCCATTGTTAAAGTGGGAGACAGATAAATCCATTAGTCCAGATCAAGACAACTGGACGCAAATATGTTTTAATTATTAAATAAAAATCCCTGGCTGGGCTGGGGAGTAGTATGTAGCTGCAGTACCGGAGGACCCTTGTTTACTTTGATAGGAGCATGCTTATGGGCTCATTTTAATTTAATTAGCATGCTGAAAGTCAAATTTAAGCACAAATGGAACATAATTTGTATCATCATCTCTGGCTGCCCTTTTCTTTTCTTCAGTGCCTCTGTTATTACAATATGTTAAGACCGATGCTATTGTAAGATAGTCTTTGGTCCACTATAAGGAAAAACTTTGGCTGGCAGGCTCTCTGCTTTCAACTGTTTGTCTCAGTCACCTCTTCTCCCCGTCCACCTTGAATGACTGTTTCGGTATTTTAAAAAGGAATGGCATAGGCAACATGAAGGCCTATTACTGTGAAATAAATTGAATTTACCACAATGTCATTTTTTCAAATTACTTAAGGTTTGCTTGAGTTACCCATGGAATCTACGTTTTTCTTTGGGCCTTCCAAAAGGGATGCAGTTTCTTTTATTTATAAAGTCTGGTCTAATTTGCAAAACCCACTGGTCAAAATCACTGGAATCTTATGTGTATCATTCAACCTTTCATGTTGCTTTAATTTAACAAACACATGAAGACATGGCATGAGATAATAACAAGACCATAATATATGACAGTCACTCAATATATTAATGATACAACTTTATTATGTTCATATACTGTGTGTAAAATTAAAATGTAAATATGTATTGTTAATTTCAATTTTATTTCATCAAATGACAATGTTAATTACTATTTAATCACCTTTTTATCTTTATCTGATTTACAAGTGGGTTTTACACAGAATCAAAAGGGGAGAGAAATTACTGCATCCAACAAATCAATAGCTAAGAAAGAAATCAGCAGACACTGCCAGATGCAGAAACAAGCAATTCCAAAATAATTATGTATTTAGTATGGCTACTTGTCAACTAGCATACAATCCTGAGGAACTGCTGCACTCCCTCCACAAAAGACTGATCCAAAAGGATACTAGTGTCACCAAGGACCCAGAAGTTTATTGATCAACAGAAGTTTGACAAAGTCAGACATTGTAGTTTGAGTAAACTGGCCTTACGCTACAAGCACACTAAAGCATGCACAAACATGCTGCAGTTCTGAATGTATTAATCTATTAGCGAGAAGTCCAGAAATGAACAAATACATGAAATATGGAGTCTACAGAGACCCGGAGGGACAAATATTTAAAAAAGTGTTGCTGAAGTATGAGAAGACAGGATCTTTTGAAAAAAATGCCAATTTTTCCACCTTCACACTAATAGATTTGTCATTTCTTTGCAGCACAGATAGGATCAAGGAAAATGCTGCACAGTAATTAACTGAATTGACTTGAGTTCCCACAGTCACATTCTGACTAAAACATTAATCAGGGAACAACATGGTTTGTGTTTTTCATGTGGGGATAAAGTTTAGTAGTGCTTCAATTTGTCTGGTTCTGACAATAAAGCCATCCCGAAGAACAGCAGTTATTCATTATTCATGGTTGGAAAATGGCTCATATGCAATGCAGCTGTAAAACCACTGCTTGATTCAGTAGCCTTTATACACAGCTGATACATCCACTTATCAATATGGAAAGATGTCAACAACTGAGGGGCTGATGACTCAGTAGATACACCCACAACAGCTAGTCAGTCTACCAAAATAATAAAGTTTAGACAAATTGGTCAAGTAGGAATTCAAAAATGAAGACCACAAATGCACATTGAAGCTGTGTGCAGTGTTGTCAACACACACTTCTTAAAATGTAACATCTCCAACCTGTGTCAGGAAGCAGTTCTGCTAGTGAGGGACAGCAGAGAGGAATCGATGCAGAAAAAAATAATACAATGAAGGAGCAAGTTTTTCCTACTCTTGACATTTATTTTTACTCTTTGCCTACAGGATGGGATTTTGTGTGTTCTTGTGTGTGTGTGCAGGTATATATGCATAATATTGTGAAACATCGCTCTAATCAGCAATTGTTTTAAAGTACCAGGCCCTCATAGGCAGGGCCCTCAGACTCAGGGGATTCTCTCTGCAGGCGAAGGTGCTCCAGTGTGTTTTGGAAGTGTTTGTTGATTTGCTCCGTTTCCTCACTCGCCTCCAGGTTGGGAAGATCTTCCCTGATCTTTTGGATCAGCTGGTTTAATACCTGGACGGTCACCTGAATGGGTGGAAGACAAGGTACAGTGTAAGAGTTCATATTTACATAGCTTTTATGGACTGTATTCACATCATATGGAAGCAACTATCTGTGTTTTGAAGGTTAAATCCAATGATGGAATAGTTCCAGTACAGAGTCATTTGAAGACATCAAAATGACAAAACTGAATTGTACAATAAATCAACTGTCAGCTGTAAAACCGGACCGGACCCGCAAACCACCAACTGATCCTACTGCTGGGAGCAGCTAGGGAGCTGTCCAGAGTGCTCTCTCTTTCTTCCCCGCCCACAATAATTGGAAGATCTAGGCTAAATGAAGAATTATTCCAAATGGAGTTCTTTACTGTTTAACAGCTCTAAAAACCCCCATTTCTCTCCTGCTCTCTCAATTGATAAAGCTTATTGCTAGGGCTAGCCCAGGTGACTCATCTTTTCCTCTCTGTGTGTCTCTCTCTCTCTCACCCAACCGGTCGAGGCAGATGGCCGCCCACCCTGAGCCATGGTTCTGCTCGAGGTTTCTGCCTCTTAAAGGAAGTTTTTCCTTGCCTCTGTCGCCCAGTGCTTGCTCTTGGTGGGAATTGTTGGGCTTCTGTAACTATCATCACAGAGTACGGTCTAGACCTGCTCTTTTATGAAAAGCACTGTGAGATAACTGTTGTTGTGATTTGGCGCTATATAAATAAAACTGAATTTGCTGTATTGGCATGAATGTTAATAGTATTGCCAAAGCTTCAAGCAAAATACAAAAGAACAATTCAATTAATAGTTAAGCCAGTGTTTAAATAAAATAAATAAATAAAATTCAATTGAAAATTAAAAAACAGTAAAAGTGTATGTGTGTGTTTAATGGACTATATGAATTCAATAAACGTGTGTGTGTACTGTAGTGAACAACGGTGTGGATTTGTGCATTTTATATTGAATAAATTTGGAGCTACTCTAAATTCCTTTCTCCTCCCCAGAGAAGAAGGGGAGGGGTCAAAGTTGCTTTCTCTAAGTGCTAGCCCGACCATAAAACTGGCACCTTTTTGATTCTGAAGCTGATAATGCGGGGCCTGACTGTTAAACTGACAAAGGAACACAAGCCAGCCATTGGCATTTCCCTGAACAGCCTATCAAAGCTGGCCCCCCACACATGTTTCCGTGGCAACTGACATTGCTCTTTGTTTATTATCCCATCAAAGGGATACTCCTTGTCTCACCTAAGTGTGACATAATCAGGACAGCCGAACTTTCAATGTAAAAAGGACTGCAGTCTCCAAAGACTCAAAGCATTTAATTAAGTTAATAAAATCTTTAGTTACCTGATTACGTTTGCCTCTATTTGAGTAGTTATGTTAACATGTTGTTGATATTAGTGCTGAAAAGAAAGTTACTTTTGCAGTGTTTTTATTTTCAGCAAAACACTCCTTCATCTAATGTAATACTTTTTCATAATACTTTCCTACAAAATTCCTTTAGAAATGACAAAGGAATGTTTTACTATACTCTTAACCGCCAGCTTGAATTTAAGGATGAAGCAACAATATTCCCCAGTTCCTAAGGAGAGATGATCTTGGATTAATCTAAGCTTTCCTCATGTAACCTGAGCTCCCCCAAGTAGACGAAATAAGTATTACATACCCTCGTTGGAAATGCCGTTAAATGTATAAATATCCTGACCAATAATGTGACAATTGTTTCCTGTTACCAAATTCTTAGAACAGTACAACCGTTCGACCATTGAGGTTCGAAGCTACACACCTGAAGTGCTGCGACATCGATCAGCCTTCAGTTAGTTTTATTTTCTTTATTTCTTTGGTTTGTTAAAGTTATCAGTCCGTTAATTTACACTGGACTAATTCAGGAACGACCAAGTTCCATTTTAAGCCTTTGTCGTCGAGCCAACTTCACCGAGGTCAGACCAAGCCACGTGGTCTCGCCAGCTACAACGAAGGAAACCTTAAAACAGCCGAATTGCCAGACACGGAGAACCCCAGAGAATCCCTAGCAAAAAGCCAGGATCGGGCAGCTAGCGTGGGACCCGTGCAACAGGCCAAAGCAGGCTGTCGACAAGCAGTAAGACCTAAGACATCTTCTGTGATCAGATATTTCCCTTTTTTAACTCCTAAACGCATAGCGGTAACTTACTTTCATTAGTTTTCCTATGCTGTATGAGTCAAATGCTTCTCACAATCGAACTCCATTTCTCATTGTTCAGCAATTGTATATGTTCCCTGTATATAACCATCTTTTTATCACAGTAGTTAGAGAATAAATTCACTAATATAATCAAGAACTGTGTGTGTTGCCTATTTCTACATCCCTGCCAAGAGAATTGACCCTTTAGATATGAGACTGACTGACTGATTTAAGATAATTGAGCGATTATTAACTAACTGATCACTAGTAATAATTGTATACTTAAAGCTGCAAGCAGCGTTGGGCGGGCCCTCGCACTTGTAGCGCGTCCGGGTGTGAGCCGGCTGAGTTGCACATTCTGGAGCTCTGCCGGTGCGGCTGTGAATTTGCTACGCGGTTCCGACGCAGCATGTAGGAGTTATATGTCACTTCCTGTGTCCCCTATGTGGAGCTACATAGCACTTGCCGCTATGAATATAAATCGGTATTGACGTGTAGATGTCTGCGGGGTGGGAGAGTTATCAAGCACGTAAAGTTTGTTTCAGATGTGAGCATGTACACTGAACAATAATGTACCCAAACAATAAAATAAATTCCTTTTATATTTCCCTGCCTTGTTGTTTATGTGTACATACAGAGGAAGAATGTGAGAACAGCACACATTTCATCGTTACTGTGTGTTAGAGCATGGGAGAACAGTGGATACTTTTAATACAGCCCACACCCCTAATACTGTGTAACTATAACAAGTAGAGAACAGAAGAAAAAGATGTTCTTTCTTTACAACTGTCTGCATAGCTTATTCATATTGTGTAATGAATGAAAATAAATAGGCCTACTAGGCTCCTCTCTACTTTGACATTTAAGATTAGCTTGTTTGATCCACCTTCATACACATGTGACATTACTGTACAACTTGAGAAAGGTGAGTTGTTTTCTGCTCCAGCCTGCCTAAAAGAAAAGCGTTTTTGGGATTAAATGGACTTTATTAGCTGCTGCAGTGCAGGATGAACTCAGAACAGACCCATTTCTCACCTTATTATTCCTAATCATGCAACGAAGAAGAAGAAATGCATAATAAATCCTGGGACAAAATCTGTCCACAAATACTGTACAGCATGTAGTCTAATGGACAAGACTTGTGTTATAGCTGACTTGGGCAGTGAAATGTTTAATTTTTTTTATTCATGTGGTCATAGTTGTCCACAACTCAAATCAGAATATAAGAAGAAATGTTTTATACCACCTCAAAAAGGCTTCCTATCAGAAAGGTAGGAAGGTATTTCAAATGTACAACTGCAGTACTTAAATCTAAGTAAAGTAATTTCCCTGACATTTTTGTGTTACTTTACTTTTAATAGACGCATGTAAGAGGTTTTATACTTCCTGTGAGTATAATCCAATCAATCTTATTTTCGTACTGTATATCCGTTGTGTAATTTGATAAATTGTGTTGTATGTGGTGCTCGCATCGGGTACTACTGAGACTTCATTGCCCTCTTCAGAGAAGACTCTGACTGCAACATGCGTCTTTGTAAAGAGAGAAATGGACAGAAAAAGTCTAACTCTGCCTGTCAGCTCGCTCTGCTCCGTTAAAACTGAATTTACCATACAGAATTGAATACGAGTGCACTCCAGATTTAGCTGCAGCCAGCTGACCGTGTGCTTCTCCCTATACCGCAGTTCTGTGTCCATGCATGCAGCAAACTGAAAGCACTGTCTGTCGGTGCGTCTACGTGAAAAGAGAAGGAAGACATGGCTGGTAGTATTGTCTTCAGAGTTGTTAAACACCTCAGCGCACTGAAGTGTGAGGGGCAAGATCGTTGATGTCTGCAGGCAGAGTAGGCCTAGAGCTCTCCTGTCTGACTGGTCCACCAATAGCAGAGAAGATGACTTTTTTTTTTTTTGTGTATTTAATTGGATGCTTATTTATTTATTGAGCATTTATTTATTTCTGTATTTATTTCTGACTGTGTCAGGATCGGTCCTCCATAGCGGGGTGGGAGAGTTATCAAGCACGTAAAGTTTGGTTAAGTTATGAGCATGTACACTGAAGTTACAACAACTTCCTGTGTCATGGCGAAGACTTCATCTTTGATGCCGCGCCACGGACACACCCATTGACGAAAACTCGCAAATAGCACAACTTTTCATCTTTAATGCCTTTAGAAGGCACAGCAGAATTTTGAGGTCGGTCGGACTAAATCCCTAGGAGGAGTTCATTAAAGTACGGAGTGTGTAAATCATCCAAAATTTGACGTAAAAGTCAAAATGGCCGACTTCCTGTTGGGTTTAGGCTATGGCTCCAAGAGACTTTTTTGTGCGTCTGGACAAGATACACGTACCACAGAAAATTTGTGCACGTAGGTGAAACGTGCGGCGGGGACTGCTTCGTTAAAAGTCACTTTCTGTTGCCAGCAGGTGGCGCTATGACTGTGGGTGAATGTCGGCATGTACATGTGTTCAGGGCGGGACTCTCATCCTACATGTACAGTTTGGTCCAGATGTGAGCATGTACACTGAAGTTACAACAACTTCCTGTTTCATAGTGAATCATCGACACCACGGACACGCCCATTGACGAAAACTCGCAAATAGCACAACTTTTCATCGTCAATGCCTTTTAGAAGGCACAGCAGAAATTTGACGTCGATCCGACTAAATCCCTAGGAGGAGTTCGTTAAAGTACGAAGTGTGTAAATCATCCAAAAATGGCCGTAAAATTCAAAATGGCCGACTTCCTGTTGACTTTAGGGTATGGGTTCTTGAGGCTTTTTTGTGCGTCTTGATATGATACATGTCCCCAGAAAATTCCGTGCATGTAGGTTGAACGTGAACGAGGGGCTCATTTTTTCCAATTTTCTAGGTGCCGCTAGCGAGTCATTTTGCCACGGCCATGCGCGAAACCCATAAAATATAAAATTTTTCACTAGTCCTGACATGTGTGCAAAGTTTGGCGAGTTTTCGAGTATGCTCAGGTCCCCAAAATGGAGCTTACTTTGCAGGGGAAAAAAAAAATATATATATATATATATAATCTGTACAAATTCAATAGGGACCTCGCACGGTCGTGCTCGGGCCCTAATAATCTTTACAAATTCAATAGGGACCTCGCACGGTCGTGCTCGGGCCCTAATAATCTTTACAAATTCAATAGGGACCTCGCACGGTCGTGCTCGGGCCCTAATAATCTTTACAAATTCAATAGGGACCTCGCACGGTCGTGCTCGGGCCCTAATAATCTCTACAAATTCAATAGGGACCTTGCACGGTCGTGCTCGGGCCCTAATAATCTTTACAAATTCAATAGGGACCTTGCACGGTCGTGCTCGGGCCCTAATAATCTTTACAAATTCAATAGGGACCTTGCACGGTCGTGCTCGGGCCCTAATAATCTTTACAAATTCAATAGGGACCTTGCACGGTCGTGCTCGGGCCCCAATAATCTTTACAAATTCAATAAGGACCTCGCATGGTCGTGCTCAGGCCCCAATAATCTTTACAAATTCAATAGGGACCTCTACAGTCCGTACACGTATGTGACGCGGTTTTGGTCCAATGGAAGTGGCCCAAATCTGAACTGGAAAAGATCTGATTCTATGTGACTTGGCCTGTTCACACTGTCAGATCAGATCTGAGTCACATATGAGCCTAAAAATTGGCTTTGGGTCACTTTGGTCTGCAGTCTGAACACAGCCTAAAACATTAATTTAAAAGTAGGTTGTGGATAGTACCTCTACAGTGGACAGAAGTAGAGTTAACCACAGCCAGCATACCAGTGTGCCAACATATGCTTCTTCTAGCTGCCTCCTCTTGAGAGCAACATGCTCTCTTTGTTCTATTTTACATCTGTTTTACTAAATTCTTGTTATAAATATTGTTCAGTAGTCTTTTTTATTAGGTTTGGTGTGGGTTCTGTGGGTGCTGCTGGTGTATCGTGTATCCATCCCTGGTTCAAAATCTACAGAAGCAATAGAATTGAAAAGCTTTTCAATGTTTCAAATTTTCAAAACATCGGTTTCAATATTTTTAAATTTGTGTGCTACTTGGCAAAATGTTTAGCGTAGAGCCCATATATGCAATGTTTCTGGAAGTTATTAATAAATTAAGGATGATAAATACTTATGCATCGAGTACTATGCTGTCGCCACGCCGTTGTGAGCATTTACACGTTTGTTGGTGTCTGCATCGCTCTGTAGTTAAAGGTTCAGTGTGTAAGATTTAGTGGCATCTAGTGGAGAGGGTTGCGAATTGCAACACTCTATCCAGTCTACCACTGCCCCCTACCTATTCAAAGAGCGTAGGACAGCTATGGTGTCCGACTCAGCACAAAAGGTGTCTCTTCTGAGACAGCAGAGTGGCCAGTCAAGAAATTATGTTTCTTTAGGTATATTTAATAATTTATATGTACTTAGTTATTCAGTAAAATCAAATGTTATTGTGACTTGGCCACTAACAGATAACATGGAAAATGTAAGCCAAGAGGGTGAAACACTGTCTCTGTTTCTGCACCACAGTCCATAATAAACCACATATTAAATAAAGTTTATATCAACATTGACATGGGACATTAATTCTCTGTGTGATTATGGACCCTCGCCAAAACTGCCTGGCAACAATAATATCTGGCCTGCTGCCAGATTATGGTGCTTTGATAGCAGCAAAAAATATAAATAAATACTTTGATAGCTTTGCTTAAAAATACATCTTAGTCATGACAGCAACAGTTCACTCACATAATCACTTCCTCTTTAGTGGTTTGCCTACAAAATAAAAAGCACAAGAAAGCTTGTTTACTGCAATCTTCTATTTGAAGTTGAACTGAGCTTTTACTTTGAAAAATTCTGAACGACACAAAAAGAGTCTGTAGCCTACTTGACACACCTCTGGAAGAGCAGTCAGAAAACGTGATTCCCAAGATGGGACAACTTTTTTTCAAACCCATATCCCTTGGGTTGCAAGTCCTGCGCCTTACCGACTGAGCTAACCGAACTACATGCCAATGCATGGTAATGGTTGAAAATATTTCTCCAATTCAAAACTTATTTGCAGACCCTTGATGTATATTATTACTACTACTATTTCTTCTAACGTACGTATTCAACATAGTGATGAGTGTCTGCACTGCCTGAATTCTACCAGAAGTACAACAAGAAGACTGTAGCGATGAAACACGTTCTGTAGCGCTGTTTGTCTGATTTCAGCTAATGTAGAAACATGACGACGCAATGTGGCGACCTCCATGGAAGGGGGTGCCCGAGGTTATGTAGATATAAATGTCTCATTCTAAGGTAATAAAAACATAATGGTTTATTATGTAAGGTCTTTATATACCACTGAAAAGTTGTTATGGATCTTATATTGCATTTCTGTTGATAGATCCTCAGAAATATTAGCTGGTGGTGGTAACACGCAATCATTTGAAATAATAATAATTTAAAAAATAATGATTTTTTAATTTCCATTTCCATAGATGCACTGGTGGGTGAGGAGGAACACCTTATTGGGAAGGACTGACCCCTGGGGGACCCAGGGGACACAGGTGACTGTGTGTTGCCAGGACCTTGCATTTCCAAATGAAATACAGTACTCTGCAGGGTTTTTCCTGGCTCAGAATGGGCCTTTGGGGGGTGACCACGTACGACAGTAAGCATGATGGGTACACGTAAAGTAAAGGCAATGAGTTACCTTATGACCAAAATCATAAGGCATGCATTTTCTTGTTATTTCTGGCCATTTGATTACATTTACAGGTTACATTTTATTTGGATAGTCTACTTATTCTATACAGTATTTGTAACATTTAAAGAGCTTATTAATTAAAATTCTGTTTCACAAATAAAACTGTTTTCTGATATTACACCGATGTGGTTAAGCTTTGATCAGGGTTAATGTTAGTGGATTTACTATAATTTCAGATCACAGAATAGGCTACTATATGGCTAACCACTACGGTAATATTAATTCCATTTGGAAAAAACAGCATTTTTGAGGGTGGTTTTTATTCATTATATTATTGTGCAAGAAAAATGCCCCACACGGTGGAGCAAGCGCAAACTTTTCAATAATCCTAACCATTCATGCAGAACAACATGTTGAAAAGGTTTGATGTAGCGCAACAACCGCCCCATCCCAGCTGAGATCGGTTCACACATTGGCAAGCTACTTTACGCACACGGCAGCATGAAAGGCACCCAAGCTTCTCACTCGTCTGTCTCCGCCAACAGAGATTAGCAGAGGAGAACTGGGACAGGTGAGCCCAGAGAACCCGATATGGAGAGGGCAGGGAAGAGTAGCGGCAGCTTGTGAGAAGTGCTGGTGCACGCAAGAAAAAGTTCTGGTATGCCAAAGAGTAAAATGTAGTACTGTGTACCAATGAGTACCTGTCCACTTCAAGCACTGCACACAAGTGATCCAGTTTGAATGCTCCGCTGGCTGTCTAGGAGTAATGTCCACACAGATTGAGGATTTGAAATGCTATTTTTTTTTCATGCCGCTGGAGATTTTCCTTTGGCACTGGCTAAAACGTATATGGTAAACGTATCTGATTGTCATGCTTGTGTGTGTATGTGAATTTTTCCAATAGAACAAACTTATCAGTTTACTTAATATACACTACAACAATGTACCTTATTAAAGAAAATCTTTGCACATCTTTAGGTCTAACAAAATGCATGACATGTTGCCTAAGAAGCTATATTCTAATTAAAGTTATACAATAGTATTTGCTATGGTATAGATACAAAATTTACTTTCTTACCTCAAAATCAGCTTCTCTCTATATTTTCAGAATCTACAACCTTGACAACCACAATACGTGATCATAAGGAAGTTGGTAAATACTGAAATGATCTCAATACTCCTATCTTATCTTTAATTGATGGAATTGTTGTTACAACTGGCCCTACACATCCCCTACACATGGCCAAGATATCAGCCCCTCAAGATTTTCCCTACTCCAATTTGTAATTGGAGTAGGGAATTTGTAATTGGAGTAGGTAGTGTAAAGATAACTGCAGTAACGAGAGTAACCTGCTTACACGTTAACAAACTGACAGCGCAGCTTGAAACTCTTAAGCTGATGATACATGGAGCAACTTTTAGAACAATTGTGCTGGGCAATGTTGCCGTCAATGGTAACGAGTAAGATTACTACCATAATCACCTTCCCCCATCCCGCCCCGCCGCTATCCGTTCAAAACATAGTTGGACTTGCCACCAGCAACAACTTACTTAAAATGTTTTCCCGTGTACCATCAGCTTTAGTCTTAACAGTTTTAACATTTTGGAAATCTGATATTTGTAGTTTCCTACCGCATCGTTTTCCCTCTCATAGAAGCAGACGTATCTGTTGAGGATTTCAATGAAAAGCTGGACTTGCAGCGATGGGTCCATGCACTGGTGGGCAATCTTCAGGGCTTTCTTTAGACACTCCATCACACGCTTACCATCGCGGATCTAAAGATGCATCAAAGTAAGTATACTGGAGCCATTTACTCGCAGCACAAAACATTTAGTTCTTTTCTGATTTAGAATGTTTGAAAAAGTGCACAAAAAACCCACAAAAAAACAAAACACCTCCAACACACCTCTTCACCATTTTTGTCGGTGCTACGACCGGACCAAAAGAGATGGGCACAGATACTGACGGCTCGGCACTGGTCAGGTTTTTTCAGCAGCTTGGAGGCAGCCAGTGCACACTGAGTTCTCAGTGGCTCGTGGTTCTCCTCGCTGAAACATCGCATTCGTTCAAAGGTACCAATGATCAGTGTGATGGCTGCCAATTGGGCTTTGGAGTCGCTGATTTCATCCTCATACAGAGAGAAGGCCTGGTGATGCATTGAGAAGCAAGACAAAAGAAGGAAAGATAGTGGACAAGGAGGGAGTGAGAAGAATATGATTGAGACAAAGAATGTGAAAAGATGATTGCTAGAGGTTTCGCTGAAAAAAAAAACAAAAAACAAAATCAATGAAAGAAATCACCACAGTTCTCAGCTCTGGAATTTTCTGACCTTGAGTAGTCGCCTATTTTTAAATATTGCTGCAGTCAGGTTACTCTGACTGCAGCAATATTGTGCTGCTTTTCTACGAGCTGAAGTAGCATTAATTTAATTAATTTATTAATTAATTAATACCACAGAATGTTTAAATAACAGACCAGAGTTTAAGTCCACTTGGAACCTGAATACCTTATTGGATTTTCCATGACCAAAGAGGACTTTTCATACAAGTCATCCTTTTCATTTAACTGAAGCTCAGTTGACTGCCACTGTAGCTGCAGAAAAGCCAATTCACTGGCTTAGATTTATGGCATGTCCTCCCCACTATGGGTTGTGGCTTACAGATTATTTCCAAGATGCAAAAGGCCCAAATGTATGTTTGAGGTTTCCATTATATCAGTTACTTTCTACTGCATATAATGTGGTTCTGAGGGTATTCTAGAGCAACAGCACCGGTAGTTTCTTATCTTAACTTGGGTCCCTTTCACACCTGTATTTTGGCTAAGGCCCCATTTACACTACTCCGTTTTAGTTTAAAAAAGGAAAATTAAAACCAATACGATCTCCGTCCACACCGGCGTTTTAGAGTTGATCTCCATCTATACTCAAACGACTGAAAAACACCGGGCATGTGCGTGCCGCTGTAAACATGATGCAGATGGTCTCTCTCTTCCGTAGTTACTAGGGCTGTCCCAGACTAAGTCAAATCAGAATCATCCACTTTAGCTCCGCTTTAATCTTGAGAAGCTGCAGAGTTGCAGTCTCTATTCATTCAACTTACACTGTAAATTTCCAGCTAAACTGACGCTTTTCTCTCTCTCCCTCCTGCCATTCACCGGTCTTGCGCAGAGTTTTGCGTGCATTCCGTGCTGCCGACAGCTGCACGCACCTCGCGGTTCCTCGCAGGTCTATTTCAAGTAGCTAGCTGTTTAAAAAACAATTTTATATTCTTCGTGTGGTTCATCAACAGTGATAAATTATCTTAAAGTCCTGCGAGGTGTGGACAACTCGGCACAACACCAGTGAAGCTGGGGCTCCACTGCACACATACAAGCTGCGCCTACACATGCACACTGATGCCCCAGGGTTAGGGTTACAATTTTGGATTTATTCACGCACTTTAAAAACATTTATTGAAAGTTTTTTTCTTTTTACATTACAAAAACTTTGTCAGTAGCATCGTGTTTCTGTTTTGCATGACTTATAAGACCCAATCAGAGAGCCAAACGTGAGTATCTGCGTCACCGTCCTCCGTTTTTGCCCATTTTCACTAAAACACTCAGCGGCTAGCGTTTCCAAACATCTCCGTTTTAGGTCTTAATTTTTACTGTTTTAGTCTAGATGGGAGGTGCAAACATAGCAAAAGGTCTCCGTTTTAAAACCAAAACACAGTAGTGTGGATGGGGCCTAATTTGGTCTGACCCAGAGACATGCTGCTTTTACTATGTAGCCTGTGTAGACTGAATGTGAAGAGATTCAAACTGACAACAGACTGTTTTATTGAACATTCTACCTGTGACATGAACTCATAAGCTACTGTCTCGTGATTCTCAAAGCCAATCTCGCCTGCAGCCAGTGCACCCTGTAGGAACAGTCGAAGAGGCAGCTCAGCAAGTTCAGCCTTGATAAGTGCACTGATGGTCTGGTGGGCGAAAGAAAAGATCTTCTGGCACTTCTTTTCCCACTTGTCATCCTGATGGGAGACATATTGGGATCATTTAATAATATTATAGACACACACTTGAAATACAGCATGTGAGATCTAGTGAAAAAGGATGTTTGCAGACCAATGAGGAGTTTTCCTTGTATCTGAAGGCCAGCTGGTAAGCTGCGAACACCAGAGGAGGAAGTGTGTAGCGAATCCTTTGGTTTCCACCCGCACCAAAGTGCTTCCGGGCTGTGTTCAGAATCTGACCAGAAATCAGAATGTTAACTTCAATGAACTTTCAAGGCAGCCACTGATTATCATTCATTTCTGCACGATCGATAAATCAATGAACAGGGTATAATCCATCACAGTACACATCAAGTCTGGCTAAGGTGGAAAAAATACTTTAAAAAAGGAGGCACTACAGCATGCAGCAATTAATGTCAAAGGAAGGACTCACAAGGTACTGTTGATCAGGATCTTCAGAGTGGAGCAGATGGATAAAACGACCCACAAGGCTCTGCTCCTCAGCAAAATCCTCTGGGTCAGGATCATCAGCTGGTTGGTCTGGCTGGTCCTGAATCAGTGTGGACACCAAGTTCAAGATGGCATCCACCTAGAGAAACCAGGGAGGGAAGTAAATACAATTTAATAGACCCACTGATGCATTCTGTGCTACATTTTTATGGCCAACCTTTCAGGAGGAGGAGCCCCACCCCACCTAAAGACAATTATATTGATCTGCTTCAAAAATAAACATTATGGTTCTTTGATTATCAGAAAGATTACAAATGAGGTTATCCGCAATTTCAGTATTTTTGGTCTAAAATATATAAATATTAAAATGAGGCCATTTATAATTAAATTAATTCTATTAAGTAAGTAATTCTGGTAAGCTGTGGACAAACCATACTGTTTAATTTTTGAAGAAGATATGTGTCTTTAGGTGGGGAGGGAATCCCTTAAGGGTCAGAATGTGATGAATTCTGACCCATGTTGACATCCTTGTTTTAAAGTGCTAGCTAGGTATTCCACCTGTTCCTGTGCCACAATAGTGGTGTTGTAGTCCAGTGTGTTGCTCAGAACATAGCAGCTCATGCTCTTGCGTGACTCATAGTCAAAGTACTCGAAGAGTGGTGGAAAGTGCTTGAGCTGCAGCACTGTCAGGATGTTGTTGTAGGTATCCACTGGGATCTTCAATAGTCGGGTAAGTTCCTTTGACACTGCACTGCTGGTTGCTATGCTACAGGGGGGAAAGAATGGAAATGGTCAAAGTGTGACATAAGTGTGAATGCAAGTTAGGCAAAGAGTATATTTAAATGCCAATTACTATACCTGTTGTCTGTGAGCATATTTGCGATGTGATATAGGTTTACCTAAAGTAACAATGCAACATGAGTATAATGGTATCCAGGTTTCTGATCATTGCTATCTTCCTAACTCAAACAACAGCCTCCAGCTGCTCAAAGAGCTCTTCCTCCTCTCCCCTTTTCTGTTATTTCCACTGTGTGAACAAGTACTGTATTTCTTTTTGATTTCTGTCTTTTACTTAATGTAAGTTATTACTTGTTTTTATGAATTTTATCTTCTACTGCAAAATTCCTAGCACATCAGTCAGCACAGACCAAACATACCGATTAAGTAAATCTCAGTGCGTCAGGACTTACTGTTCCAAGTTGAGCTTGTTGAATATCTCCACAGTGCCCTCCAGGACCTTATCTACATAGTCAACACGTTCAGGGTAGCATTTCATTGCCAAATTAATGAGAGAGACCTGAAGAGAGACCACGTCCTCTGATGGCATGTCCTGTCGAGACTGAAGGAGGAATATTAGAATGAAAACATCAGCATGGTCAGTCGACATTTGTTTGGGATTTATGGATTATAGAACTGTAAGCAGATGACATGAATTAAAGTAAAAATCTATTAAATATATTTTAGAACACGAGATTTCATGACATCGTCTATCATCATTGATTTAAACATTAATTAAATAAGAAGCAATTACACTGTTATCCTAGGAAGACAGATGTTCATGTAAAATCTATCTGCATGTAAAACGTTTTTGTTTTTTTCTCAATTGATGAATATAATCTATTAAAGTGGTCATATAATAGTCATTTTCAGGTTCATCATTTTATTTAGGGGTTGCACCAGAACAGGTTTACCTGGTTTCATTTTTAAAAAACACCATATTTTTTGTTATACTGCACATTGCTGCAGCTCCTCTTTTCACCCTGTGTGCTGAACGCTCCGTTTTGGCTTTTGAGTGACGCATCTCTGGAAATCTAACAGTGACCCTAGGGCTGGGCGATATGGCCTAAAAATAAAATCTCCGATTTTATTTACTTTAATTCAATTTACGATTTTTTCCGATTTCCCCCCCTACTTAAGGAAAGCAATAAGGTTTGTTGGTCAGTGCGGCTTTGTTCATCGCGGAGAGACTGGCATTTTTCATATTCGGCTGGATGTCTCTGTTTCAGGTGTTGGAATAGGTTTGTGGTGCTGCTGCCTTTCACTGCGATAGGCTTTAGGCAAATGTTGCAGCGTGGTGTCTGTTGTTCCACATCTGTCGCAGCAAACCCATACCAGTTCCAAACAACAGATGACTTTATTCCTTTCTTGGGAACAAACTTCCCGCTCTCACCGGTAGCCATTTTGTCGCTTGCTGTTGCTGTTTAGTGTATGATGTTGTCGCTATGGGAAACGAACACTACGGAAACCCCGGGGAGCCAAAAATGTGCTATTACACAAAAACTCGATTTACTTATTTTTTAAATCGCCCGCAACAAAAAATTCGAATTAATTCATTCAATCGATTTTTCGCCCAGGCCTAAGTGACCCTACTGCTCACCTGATTTATCACCTCAGTAAACACTTTAATAATTAGTTTATGGTCTCAATCGCTAATTTCATGTCTTATACAACAGACCAAAAATAGACCAAAGCAGAGTATGCTTCAGGACGGGACTATCTGTGATTTACAATTCATTACCATGGCAACCTGTCAATCAAGCTAGAGTGACTCGTACCCACAGCCCTGTGTAAACTTAACCAGCGCCGTTGAAAAAGCCTATTAGGAGTTGGCTGTTCATTTTCTCTGTTTAGTAGATTTTGTTTTAAGCCTGTTTTTTCGCTAAACAAAATTATCATCCCAGTTAAAATGACTGGGATTACTAGCCAAGCAAGCTAGGTGCATCTGTTTTACTGAGCTCGGTCTCTACATCACGGTAACAACATCCATTGACTGCCTAGAGGGTAGCAAATGTTTGGAAGGAAGAGGAGAGGCAGCAGGCGGACGTCTTGTCACTGTATGCTGCAGCTCAGTGTTTTTCCACCGGTGTTTTTGAGGGCGTGCATAACTAGCCGCTAGGCGAACATTATGAAGCGTGTTTTCTTGTGATGTCACAAAAAAGTGAAAGTAAAGGCTGCATTCATGTGACAACACTGAATAAATGACACTTTACTACAATGTAAAGTAGTGGGTGTACAATAGGAAATAAAAGCTGAAATTCTGAACTCGTCTCATACTCATCTTTTGATCTTAAACCCAAATGTCTTCAATGAACAACAAAAACAAAGGAATTTGCCTTACCATTCCAATACTTTTGGAGGGGACTGTACAACTGTGAATTTGCTGTCCCATCAAAATAACACATCACACAGCCATTAATGTCTAAACTCCTGGCAAATCAAAGTGAGGGGTGTACTCACTTTGATTATTAAGTGAAAATGTCTGAATAGGGCCCAAAGTGTCAATATTTTGTATGGCCACCATTATTTGCCAGCACTGCCTTAACCCTCTTGGGCATGGAGTTCAGAGCTTCACAGACTGGAGTCCTCTTCCACTCCTCCATGACGACATCACGGAGGAGGTGGATGTTAGAGACCTTGCGCTCCTCCACCTTCCATTCGAGGATGCCCCACAGATGCTCAATAGGGTTTAGGTTTGGAGACATGCTTGGCCAGTCCATCACCTTTACCCTCCGCTTCTTTAGCAAGGCAGTGGTTGTCTTGGAGGTGTGTTTGGGGTCATCATCATGTTGGAATACAGCCCTGCGGCCCAGTCTCTGAAGGGAGGGGATCACGCTCTGCTTCAGTATGTCACAGTACATGTTGGCATTCATGGTTCCCTCAATGAAGTATAGTTCACCATCTGACACCCTCTGAACCAAATAAGTTTTATCTTGGTCTGATTAGACCATAGGACATGGTTCAACTAATCCATGTCCTTAGTCAGCTTGTCTTCAGCAAACTGTTTACGGTCCTTTCTTGTGCATCCTTCCGGGACAACGCCATGCAGACTAATTTGATGCAGTGTGTGGCATGTGGTCTGAGCCCTGACAGGCTGACCCCCCACCCCTCTGCAGCAATGCTGGCAGCACTCGTACGTCTATTTCCCAAAGACAATCTCTGGATATGACGCTGAGCACGTGCACTCGACTTCTTTGGTCGACTGGGTTATTGCACAGGAATTGTTCCTGACACAGAGTCAGAAATCAGCTGTTCATCAGAGTGACGGCTTGTGGGAAGAAACTGTTCTTGAGTCTGTTGGTTTTGGCGTACAGTGCTCTGTAGCCCCTACCAGAGGGGAGGAGCTGGAACAGGTTGTGTCCGGGGTGAGATGGATCTCCAGTGATGTTTCCTGCCCGTTTCCTGACTCTGACTCTGAATGGAGGGCAGGTTGGCACTGATTATTTTTTTCTGCAGTCCTGACTCTCCGTCGTAGTCTGTCTCTGTCCTTTTTGATGGCAGATCCAAACCAGACAGTGATGGAGGTGCAGAGAACAGACTGAATGATGGCTGTGTAGAAGTGGATCAGCAGCTCCTTTGGCAGGTTGAGCTTCCTGAGCTGACGCAGGAAGTACATCCTCTGCTGGGCCTTCTTGATGATAGTGTTAGCTCCCACTTCAGGTCCTGGGAAATAGTGGAACCCAGAAACCTGAAGGATTCCACAGCAGACACAGGGCTGTTGAGTATGGTGATGGGGGGCAGAGTAGGGGGGCTCCTGCTGAAGTCCACTATCATCTCCACAGTTTTGAGCGTGTTAAGCTCCAGGTTGTTCTGACCGCACCAGAGAGTCAGCTGATCAACCTCCCGTCTGTAGGCCGACTCATCACTGTCCCGGATGAGGCCGATGTCCGTCATGATGACCGTGTCGTCAGCGAACTTCAGGAGTTTGACAGATGGGTCTCCTGAGGTGCAGTCATTGGTGTAGAGGGAGAAGAGCAGTGGGGAGAGCACACACCCCTAGGGGGCGCCAGTGCTAATAGTCTGGGTGCTGGATGTGATGTTCCCCAGCCTCACCTGCTAATGCCTGTCAGTCAGGAAGTCTGTGATCCACTGACAGGTGGAGGCTGGCACAGTGAGCTGGGTGAGTTTGGTGCTGAGGATGTCCGGGATGATGGTGTTGAACGCCGAGCTGAAGTCCATGAACAGGATCCTTGCATTGCATGTACCTGGAGAGTCGAGGTGTTGCAGCATGTAATGCAGACCCAAGTTGACAGCATCATCCACTGACCTGTTAGCCCTGTAGGCAACTGCAAGCAAGGGGCCAGTAATGTCCTTCAGGTGGGCCAACACCAGTCTTTCAAAGGACTTCATGACTACAGATGTCAGGGCGACGGTCCTGTAGTCATTTAGTCCAGAGATGGAGGGTTTTTTTGGGACCGGGATGACTGTGGAGCGTTTGAAGCAGGAGGGAACTTCACACAGCTACAGTGATTTGTTGAAGATCTGAGTGAAGATGGAGGCCGACTGGTCCGCACAGATTTTCAGGCACGATGGTGAGACACCGTCAGGTCCAGGAGCCTTCCTGATCTTCTGCCTTTGGAAGACGTGGCTCACGTCCTCTTTACAGATCTTGAGTGCAGGTGAGAGGTCAGAGAGAGGGGGAAGGTGACCGTTTGAAAATGGCGTTGGAGCGGGGGAGAGGTGTGACTCTGGGCTTTTCAAACCTACAGTAGAAACCATTCAGCTCGTCAGCCAGTCGGTGAGTACCAGCAGTGTTGGGGGATGGTCTCTTGTAGTTTGTGAGTGTCCGTAGGCTTCTCCACACTGACGCAGGGTCGTTGGCTGCAAAGCTGTTATTTAGCTTTTCAGCGTAGCGCCTCTTTGCAGCTTTGCCCTCTTTAGTCAGCGTGTTCCTGGCCTGGTTGTACAAGACTCTGTCCTCACTTCTGAAGGCCTCCTCCTTGGTCTGACGAAGCTGCCTTAGTTTCGCTGTGAACCAGGGTTTTTGGTTGTTGTATGTGCAGAAGGTTTTAGTCGGCACACACGTCCTCACAAAAACTGATGTAAGATGTCACAGTGTCAGTTAGTCCAGGTCAGTGGCTGCAGCCTCAAAAACACTCCAGTCAGTGCAGTCAAAGCAGGCCTGTAACTCCAGCTTTGATTCGTTGGTCCATCTTTTCACAGTCTTTACAACAGGTTTAGCAGATTTCAGTCTTTGCCTGTGTGTCGGGAGAAGATGAACCAGACAGTGATCAGAGAGTCCTAAGGCTGAAAGGGGAACAGAGCGATAGGCGTCCTTTAATGTTGTGTAGCAGTGGTCCAGTGTGTTAGTGTCCCTGGTGGGACACTTAATATGCTGTCTGGACTTTGGAAGTTCATGACTGAGGTTTGCTTTGTTAAAGTCCCCAAGAACTATGAGCAGGGAGTCTGGATGTTTTTTCTCCAAGTTAGTTATCTGGTCGGCCAGGTGTAGTAACGCCTCACTAACACAGGCCTGAGGTGGAATGTAAACAGCGACCACAACAAACGAGGAAAACTCCTGCGGTGAATAAAAAGGTTTACAGTTTATAATGTCTCTAGGTGAGGCCTGCATGATTTTTCCAACACTGACATCTGTGCACCAACCTTCGTTTATATAGAAACAGAGTCCGTCTCCCCGTGTTTTTCCCAAGAGATTAAATCCCGGTAGGTGAAGTGCGCTGTCTGGGATGTGCTCGGTGAGCCAGGATTCGGTGAAACAGAGGGCAGCAGATCTACAGAAGTCCGAATTAATTCTGTTGAGGAGCAGCAGTTCGTCCATTTTGTTGGCCAGAGAGCGGACATTGAGTACTACAACACTAGTACTCACTTTTGTTGCCAGTGGTTTAGACATTAATGGCTGTGTGATGTGTTATTTTGAAGGAACAGCAAATTTACACTATTATACAAGCTTATACACTCACTACTTTACATTGTAGTAAAGTTTCATTTCTTCACTTCACAGATGAAAAGATGTAATCAAATATTTACAAAAATGTGAGGGGTGTACTCACTTTTGTGAGATACTGTAAAACAGATATGCACTTCTGATGGTATTAAAATGTCAGCTTATACCCTTATGTCACATTAAAATCACTTAAGCTCACCTAGAGAAATAAATCCTGCCTGAATGGGACTTTAAACAGCTTTTTGATGTGTACAAGCGCTTAATTAGTCTTACAGACCAGGTTAACCTAACGTAGCCTACTTGAATGACGGTGGCCACTTGCTGAGAGAAGATGTCAAACAGTTTGATCTCAGCTGGAATGCCAGGGCCATCTTCTCGATGAGCAAACAGAGCAAGTCTGAAAAACAAAACAGAATGGTAAATGTACTGCATTTACCACTCACCAACCACTCAAAGCACTTTACAACACATTTACACGTACATTCATACACTAATGGCAGAGGCTGCCATGCAAGGTGCAAACCTGCTCAGCCGGAGCTGTAAGGAGTTCAGTGTCTTGCTCAAGGACACTTTGACCGGGACCCGACCAGGAACCTTTGAGTACACAACCTCTCTACCTCCTGAGCCATGCCAACCGAAAATCTAACCTACATTCATGGGCAATTACAAATTCTCATGTTTATTTCTTTTTTTTTTTTTTTTTGCATTGGAACAACACAAAAAAGCAGAATAAAGTCAAATCTCAGACCAACACATAACTCCAAAAATGGACTGGACAAAATTATTGGCACCTTTTCAAAGTCTTGAGAAATAATTGTATGTCAAGCATGTCATGCTCCTTTAAAGGAGAACTCTGGGCAATTAAAAAAAAAAGTTAATCGTGATCGTTATACCTTTGTGAGTACTGTCTATAGACAGTTTAGCAACTTAGCCATTGTTTAAATTCACCTAAATAGTGTTTTAGACGGCTAGCGGTAGTCTCACGCTGAAGTCCCGTGGGAACTCAGTTGTTGCCGGAAAAAGATAATTTCTTGTATTTTCCCATTCTGTTGCCACAATTAGGAACGGCACAAACGCGAACCATTTCTTCTTCACTTGTGAGCAACTCCAATCTTCACTCCTCCCACCTGCACACTGCTATTTACCTTTTTCCGGCAACAACTGAGTTCCCACGGGACTTCAGCACAAGACTACAGCTAGCTGTCTAAAACACTATTTAGGTGAATTTAAACAATGGCTAAGTTGCTAAACGCATCTTGTTGTCATGTAAGGGCCCTGTTCATGTTGGACAGACATTTTAATTGCATCTTGTGTCTGTTAAGAGGCACAAAGACACTCTTTATGTATATGCCCCCATAACTGCCGTTTTAGCTGAGTGGGAGCTCTGGGCATTAGCTGTAGCAGATCCGTGTTACAAGCACCTATCCGGTTCGTTTTCTATAGACAGTACTCACAAAAGGTATAACGATCAAGATTAACTTAAAAATTGCCCGGAGTTCTCCTTTAACTTGTAATTAAACTCACCTATAGCAATTCACAGGTGCTGGCAATAGAGAAATCACTCTTACAACCAGTTAAAATGGAAAAAGGTCGACTCAACCTTTGTGCTGCGTGTGTGTTTACCACACTTAGTATGGACAAAAGAAAGAGGAGAAAAGAGTTGTCTTGAGGATTTGAGAACAAACATTTTGGAAAAGCAAGGACAATCTCAAGGCTACTCCATTCCCAGAGATCTTAATGTTCCTGTGTCCATCGTGCACAACATTGTAAAGATGTTACAGCCCCATGGCACTGTAGCCAATCTCCCTGGATGTGGACAAGGACAAAAACTGATTAAGATTGTGCAATGAAGGATTGTTCGAATAGTGGACAAAGAAACTTGATCAACTTCCAAACAAATTCAGGCTGACCTGCACACACAGGGTACAACAGTGGAGGTCCCCATAGCTGACAGAAACATTAAAAAGCCATATTGGAGTTTGTCAAAAATTTACCTGAGGAAGCCAAAATCCTTCTGGAAGAATGTCCTATGGCCATATAAGACTAAAAGAGAGCTTTTTGGTGAAGGCTCAAATGGTTAAAGACAAAGCACTGGAGAGTTCTGAAGTGGCCAGCAATGAATCCAGATCTAAATCCCATAGAGAGACCTCAATACAGCAATTGGGAGAAGGAACCCATCAAATCTTAAAGATCTGGAGCAGATTGCAAAAGAAGAGTGGTCCAAAGAAACTCATTGATGGTTAAATAAGGTGACTGACTTCGGTTATTAAGGGTGTGCCACCAAATATTAAGTTGTGGGTGCCAATTCTGTGTGGAATGTCTCAGATTTGGCTTTGTTCTCTGCCTTTTTCAGTGTTGTACCAATGCAAACAAAATAAATAAACATGAGAATACTAAAGCATTTGTAATTGCAACAATTTATTGGGAGAAGTAGTGCATATTGTGACAGACATGAAGGGGTGGCCATACTTTTGGCCATGACTACAAACTTTTTTGAGTTCGTAAAACTGCTCACTGAAGGTGAGCATTCAACTATGGATGTAAATGGGGTGAATGATGAGGAACACTATTAACTATAATTAGGATTCAATACTTTATTGCCATTTCAACACAGTTGACAGGAACCACTCTACATTCAGTGACCACATTATAAAGTTAATTAAGTAATAATAATAAATTATTAAATCATTATCATGAAGGATATGCATGTTATGCTGTACCTTGGCTTCTTGTTGTAAAATGGCCTTAAGCTTGACAGAAGCTGACACTACATAAACTTTAGTGTCACACAGGGAATGAAAGTAGCCACCCGCGGGTAACGTGGTGGTGGGTGAAATCGTCGTTGTGACGGACAAGAAAAATGCACAACAGAAAGACACGTGTAGTAAGGTAAGCATATTGTGGCGATCGGCGCCTGCGTCACACACACAGCTACCAGTCAGCTCAGGAAATATCTGTGAAACGGAGGCGAGGTACTGTAACGGGGTGACAGTGGTCAGGGAGAGGAAGGATTTGCGGATACTATCAGAATCAGTGGCTGTGCCTTATGAGGACAGGTAACGGGGCTGTAGGGCGAGTTATGTAAAGCTAGATTAGCTTAGAGATATTAGGTGTGAGACAGGTGCTTCTTATTTTGTCTACGCTCTCCGGCTGCACATATTTCTAACTTGTCATCTGTCTCTCATGTAGGACGTGTAACAGCCCCTGCTTAGTCTACTTCTACCTGATGTGGAGGCCCTGGGTCCAATGAGCTACAGGATATTAAAGTCCCACCTTCCATCGTGGCTCGCTCTCTTCGTTGTCAGCACCTGCACCTTACTGCTTTGCTGAACCGTTGTTTTGATTTTTACTCCACAACACCTTATCCCACAGTATATGAAAACTACTTATTTCATTTTTTTTTTTTTTTTTTTTTTTAAACCTGTCCTGCCCAGCAGCCTGGTATAGAGTATAATGACCTGGATACCATATTGTGCCAGACAGATTTTACTTTAACAAGAGAGTATTAAAATACTCCTTTGTCTGTTTTATTATTTATTTAATTATGTATTGATTTGTCACCGGGCCGGACAGGGGGGCAGACACGGGGATGGGGGGGCACAAACAGACAGCACAGAGAAAGGACAACACCTGCAAGAGAAGGGGGAAAGGGGGATGGAGGGTGGGGACAACAGGGAAAAGCTGTGGGAAACACCAATTGCAGAAAGCAACGAAACCTGCAAGAGAACAGAGAGGGGGGCTTGGGGAGGAGAAAAACAACAACAAACAAACACAAACAAAAAAAACAATAAAAATAATAATAATAGTAAAAGAAAACCAGCCGAACAGCAGCAATAAACAGCTGACATATTAATGACATATTAAGACAACTAAGAGAACAATGAAAACAAGAAACAGTCACACACACTAAATAAGCAACACAACACAGCCACGAGAGCTGGAATAATAATTAATTTAAATAAGTAACTGAAAGAAAGGCATCAGGAATAATTCTACCAGGGACAACCTAAGTTTGTTTGTGTCTGTGTGTGTCTGTGTGCGTGTGGGTGAATGTGTCTGTATGTGTGTGTATGTACATGTGTGTGCGCATAAGCCTGTTAAAGAATGTAGTTGTTAGAGAGAGTGGGACGCCACGACTGTAACAGGCAGGCAAGAACCCCAGTAGCCAATAGGGGTGGAAGAAAGAAAAAGAATAAATCAAATCAAAAAAAAACAAAGACTCCCAGATGCACCGCGATGCAAACGCAGAAGACTCCGACCCAAATGCCAGTTGACAACGTAATGCCGACGGAACGCAAAAGAGGAAGAAAAACTACTTATTTCAAATGAAAAATTATGACACTGACTTCCTACCCACAGGTTCCATTATTATAATTACTATTACTGTCACACATTATTTCATTATTTTAAGTCATACAAACAACTTTAACAATCGTAAACCTTTTTAATGTTTTCAGGAATGCAGGATATGATTTTTATTTGTTTAACTCCTTCTTGTATAGTGTAATCATTTTTGTTAAATAAAATAAGGCAAGACTAATCATCAGTTCCCTATGTTAATGATACTGCCTAGCGGGATTCATAATTACTCAGTGTGCAGGTCATTCTTATTTTTCCACACATTCTTTGTTGGATATGCACATGCTCTTGTGTGTTTGAACTGGACTTACAGTATATCAGAATGTGAAATCTAACATTTGCAGTCAGTATTAAAGACAAAAGGAATGCAAATATATAAATAAAATTTATTGCAATGAAAACCATGCGTTTTTCTAATGTTCACAAATGTGGTCATGTAGTAAAAACATTTATTCAAATAAACAGACTGGGCCAGTGCAAGTGGTAACAGCTACTGTATGTCCCACATAGGTCCAGAGTACTTAGGAGTCCATGGGGTGGTAGGGAGAAAGGTGGGAGTGTTATTTTTTTTAACAAACATGATTAACTTAAATAAACAACATTAGCCATCAGCTATGTTTAGGTGCAAAAAAAGGCCAAATTCAAAAGCAGTGGCACTGCCAACTGAAAGCTGCATTTGGAGGTGGCCTTTACAGCAATTAGGTACTGTACTTACAAACATATTTATGCTAGTTGTGAAATGAACTCCATTTTTCAAATATAGCCCAGGACTGATGCGAGGGTTCTTAATCATGGCATCATTTAAGCTACAAACAAATACAACCATAACACTGTTCACCGACTGGCACCAGCCTTCCGTTTTGACTTGCAAAACCATTTAACCCTCAAAACTTTCTGACTCGCAAGGAAAACGTATTAACTTGCAAAACTTTGACTCGCAAGGAAAACGTGTAGCACGTGTGAGGCGGCCATGTTTTGTAAGAAACGGCTTACTTCCTGTTACCAATGGTTGGGGCTATGACGTTGAGTGAATATTTTCATGTAGATGTGTTCAGGATGGGACTGTTATCAACCATGTAAAGTGTGGTACAGATCGGAGCACGTACAGTTATAATAACTTCCTGTTTTATGGCGAACCGTTGATCTTTAACGCCATGGACATGCCCATCGACGAAAACTCACAGATAGCACAACTTTTCATCGTCAATGCCTTTAGAATGCACAATAGAAAATTTAAGTCGATCCGATTAATTTCCTAGGAGGAGTTTGTTAAAGTACAGACCTTGTAAAAGGCCATAAATGGGCTGTAATTGCACATTCAAATCAAAATGGCTGATTTCCTGTCTGATTTCAGGTATGGCTCCAAGAGGCTTTTTTGTGCATCTTCGGATGATACATGTACCACAAAAGTTTTGTGTTGATTCAGTGCGCAGGGGCTGCATCTTTGAAGGGACACTTCCTGATTACAGCAGGTGGTGCTATGAGGTTGAGTGAATTTTGACCTGTAGATGTATTCAGGGCATTTCATTCAAATGTGTGAAATCTGGTAGAGATATGAGAATGTACAACAAAGTTACAACAACTTCCTGTGTCATGGCGAAGCATCGAACTTTGCACAGTTCATGCTCGGCCCCAAATATTCCTCTTCTGAGGTCTCCTTAGTTTTTAAGCATCCCTAGCTGTTTGAAGACTAAAAAGTTATTAGGGAGCGCTGCAGAGCCAACGTGCCCAAGCCCAAATGTGACATTAAATCAAAATATTTACCAGTTCAACAATTGCTGTAAAGTTTCGTGACTTTGAGCATCCGAAAAGGCCTCAAACAGCAACTTTCAGAATCAGAGAATTTTTTTAGTTTTTTTGATTTTGTTCATTTGGCCTTGATTTTTGTGCTTTTACATATAAGCTGGCTACCTAGTTAAATCGTTTTTTTCATCTGTTATAATTGTGTTTATTGTTGATGTATGATCGGGAGTCTGCACACTGCACAGGGTGTTGTATTTTCGAAATTCTTTCGGTCTTCCTGCCTGATTTATCTGCTCAGTGCTGTTTGATGCGGCTTTCGTCAAAAATAGACTTGCCATGTAGTCTCCACAAAGCAGAGAGCCGCTTCTGGGATGCACCACAGAGCGTCTGGTGGGAGCACAAGCATTGACACACTAGAATGGCAGCAATCAGCTCTGGCAGCTACGTGTGTGAGTCCGGGGTCTCACACAGTGCCAGGAGCTGTTTTAGCAAAGGCAATGGCTATTATATTGGATTGTATTACACAGTACACAATTTTCCAGGTAAATTTAAGAACTCCAACAATTTACAACTCTAACTACTTTATATTGTGCATTGGCTGATTAGGATTTATAAAAAATTATATATGCTAATACAGAGTTTCTGATTCAACTAGCTTTGTTAATTTACAGTGAATCAAACTGTACCTGTCAATGAGGGCAATGATGATGTTCTTGACATTGACGTGTTGATGAAGCTCAGCACAGGAACGCAGGAAGGGGTTCAGGGTCTGAAGGTGGAACTCATCTGGGAAAACCTTAGAAGACACATGAAATACTTGAAACAAACATGAAGATTCACACAACAACTGACAATGTTAAAGTCGAGGGCTGGCCGAAAAATCAAGTTATAGGCAGTTAGTATTTGTCCTGAAATTAATATTAAAATCTCTCTTGCAAAATGAAAATATAGTTTTCATAGTTAAAAAGGCAAGGGATGTTTGCTTTAGGTCTAAATAGGGGTGTCATGATTCTCCAAATCCATTTTTTACTTGTCTTTGGATTTAAGGTCACGATTTGATTTAAAAAAAACATTCAGCACCAATGGGTCTGCTTGTGTTGTTAGACTATCAAGTCTTAATTTGTACATATCACCAGATCATAGTTTTATGCCACAACATGTAATTTACATTTTCAAATTCTTTTTTAAAAAGGCTACACGATGTCAACTGTATCCTTCTTTTGATTTCGAAGGTCAAAATTCAATGCTCATTTCAATTTTTTTTCGATTTAGAATCTAAATAATGACAACCCTTGATCTAAATAAACATTTTTTATGTTAATGTAACATTCTTTCCGCTGATGGCACAAATTAATTTTAACTGTATCTTTATCAGATCGATTTCGGTTTGTACATGTTAATGAGTCCTCCATGCACGCCAAAATTAGTCATGGAGTTCCTCAAGGATCTGTCCTCGGACCAATCCTCTTCACTTTATATATGCTTCCCTTAGGCAATATTATCAGGAAATATTCCATAAACTTTCATTGTCATGCAGATGATACTCCGTTATATCTATTGATCAAATCAGATGAAACTCATCAGTTAGCTAAAATCCAAATGTGCCTTCAGGATGTTAAAACCTGGATGACCTGTAATTTTCTAATGTTAAACTCAGATAAAACTGAAGTTATTGTTCTGGGGCCCAAGCACCTCCGTGACGCATTATCTAAAAATATAGTTTCCCTTGATGGCATCGCCCTGGCCTCCAGCACCACTGTGAGGAATCTTGGAGTTATCTTTCATCAGGACATGTCGTTTAAGTCTCACATTAAGCAGATTTCAAGGACCGCCTTTTTCCACCTACGTAATATTGCGAAAATCAGGAACATCCTGTCTAAGAATGATGCAGAAAAACTAGTCCATGCATTTGTTACTTCTAGGCAGGATTACTGCAATTCCCTATTATCAGGCTGCTCGAAAAAGTCCATTAAGACTCTTCAGCTGATCCAGAATGCTGCAGCACGTGTTCTGACAGGAACCAGGAAAAGAGATCACATCTCTGCATTTGCTTCCAGTAAAATCCAGAATAGAATTTAAAATCATTCTTCTTACCTACAAAGCTCTTAATGGTCAGGCACCATCTTATCTTAAAGAGCTCATAGTACCTTAATACCCTACAAGAGCACTGCACTCCCAGAATGCAGGGTTACTTGTGGTTCCTAGAGTCTCCAAAAGTAGAATGAGAGCCAGAGCATTCAGCTATCAAGCTCCTCTCCTGTGGAACCAGGTTCCAGTTTGGGTTCAGGAGGCAGACACCATCTCCACATTTAAGAGTAGGCTTAAGACTTTCCTCTTTGATAAATCTTATAGTTAGGGCTGGCTCAAGTGAGTCCTGAACCATCCCTTAGTTATGCTGCTATAGGCCTAGACTGCCGGGGGATTTCCCATGATGCACTGAGCTCCTCTCTCCTCTTCTTTCTCTCCCTCTGT